CAGGCCCCAGCGTGCGACTAATGACTGTGCGCCCACGACTCGGAAGAGGTAAGTTTGCCACTTTTATAAGCACGTACGGTCCGACCATGTATAATCCTGATGACACACGTGGTCAATTCTACACTGAGCTATCCTCCGTGATATGCTCTGTGCCGAGGAGCGACCGACTATTTCTGCTGGGTGATTTCAACTCGCGCGTTGGGCGTGATGCAACGGTGTGAACAGATGTCATCGGTCCTCATGGCTTTGTTTCAACGAATGCCAACGGTGACATGCTGATGTCACTGTGTGCTACTCACTGCCTGACGATCACGAACACTCAGTTTGCACTGAATGCGAGTGATATAGCAACTTGGACGCGCCTACAGAATGGTCACGCTCACCTGCTCGACTATGTCATCGTACGTCAGCGTGATATGCGTGAAGTGCGCATGACACGTGTACTGCTTGCAGCTGAGTGTGGCACTGATCCCAATTTGGTGCGGACCAAACTGTACATATATTTTCGTAAATCTATGTATACCACTCCTGCCGTGAATCGGCGTAACGTTAATCTTCTCTCCCTCGGTACTGGGACGAAACTTACTGAGCTGGAGAAGGCGATGACTGCTGTCCTGTTTGATATGAAATGCATAGCCACGGTGGGCAACCCGTGGCCCCACATTCGAGACCGGGTGGAACCTGCTGTCGAGGAGACCCTCGGGCGCGCTAACTGTAAGCGGCCTGATGGGTTTGATGAGAACAATACGACGATTGGCGCTTTGGTGTCAGGGAAGAATGCAGCATTTTCTGCACATGTGGCAGACCCCAATGACTTGCGGAATAATAGTCATTTTGGAAGAAATCGACGCCGAATGGCTCGCGAGCTCCGTCGCATTAAAAACACATTGTGGACGGAGAAGGAGAGGCAGAAGAGATGCTACGCCGAACGCCGCCAACACAAAAAATACTTTCACTCTTTGAAGGCGGTGTATTTACCGAGGTTGAAACCGACGACTGCGCTGATCGACGGTAGTTCAGGCGCCACCTGCACACAGACTGCGGACATAATGCAGATCTCGCGGTAACACTTTGACTGTCTATTGAACAACCGCTCAGAGATCGACTGGTCTATATCGAACGGACTGAATCTGCTCTATGTAACTGCGAGTATGGCGGACACGTCGACACAGGATGAAAAGCAGAGAGCAAGTGCTCAGCTGCGAAACGGCAAATGTGCCGGTGCCGACAGGATCTCGCCTGAAGTATTGAAACACGGCGCACCCGCGTTGGTAATTGCGCTGTACCAATTGGTGCAACGCGTTTGGCTTGAGGAGGAGGTGTCTCCTGAGCTGAAGGATTCCCTTGTGCCTTTGTGTACAAAGGCAAAGGTAGCAAGCAATGTTGCACGAATTATCGTGGCATCAACTTGCTGATTTTTGGGAGCAAGATGACTTCCCGAATCTTGCTCAACCGCTTCACCACTCAGGTCTTTGAAACGAATGTGGCGGAAGAGCAGTGTGAATTCTTTTCTGGTCGCAACACTATAGGTATGGTGTTTGCGAATCGTCAGTTAGAGGAATAGTGTAGAGAACGAGACCAGGCACTGTACTTGCTGTTTGTTGCTTTCAACAAAATATTTGACGCCGGGAACAGCGAAGCATTGTGGCGGGTGGTGGGTAAGTTTTCTTGTCTGACTAAGTTCGTAAGTCCATCCGAATGTTTGCACAGTGGTATGCGGGCGAGGGTGCAGCTGAAGGTACAGACCTCGGATGACTTTGCAGTTGTCACTGGTGTAAAGCAAGGCTTTGTCTTAGCTCCTGCCCTGTTTAATGTATATCTTCATGCAACGATGTCTTATGCCTATGATGCCACTTGTGCTTACAATGTTTGTGTGGAGCACCGTATTGATAATGGGTGGCTGGACATCCGTCGTTTGATTACGAGAACCCTAGTCTGTGAGACAACTATTCGTATGTTGCTGTTTGCTGACGACTGTGCGTTTTTTGCACTCAGCGTTCTAATCTTGGTTGCAAGTCATGGGCATCGAAGGCGGTTGATCGACGTGCATGGCGAGATCTGTGCACGAAGTCAGTTGCCGAGGTGCGGAAGAAATACCTCATGCATGCAGAGAAGAAGCGGCAACTGCGGAAGCGGCGAGCACCGATGGGTTCTACTCCAGAGACATCGAGAGCGTGGTGCTGTAGCACATGCGGTCGAGAGTGCCTAAGTCAGGAAGGTCTAGTGAGCCATGAGCGAGACCAGTCGGGACCACGACCGAAGCGACGACGGGTACTGCGGAGAACGTAGACAGAACCGGCGTAGCGTTTGTAGGTACGCGGCATTCGATTTACTAACCGTGCGTTTACATGCCAAGTCTCTTCATTTTAGGTGGTGGGTTTTCAATTTTGTCCTAATGGTTTGGTTTGTCATATTATTGTCTACCTGTACTATCTTCTCTAAACTTGCACACGTTGCTGAGGCTAATTGTAGTTAATTTCGATAACATTTTTGCGTTTGTGACATTTTCTTAAAATATCTTTTCTTACCTCTTGGACTTATCGCGGATTCGTTCGCAATCATTGTTATACGCTTAATTAGTGCAGCTTTACGTCTCCGTATCTGCATGCATTATTCGATTTATTTTATTTCATCTTGTCTTTTCAAGTGAATGTCTGTTGTTTGATATCCCCGGAGTGGCTGCGCTTGATGTGCATGTTGACAAGGTGCCTACCTGTTTATTACCCACTACCTCGTCCACCTGGCTCCAGGGGACAGTTGGTCTTTGCTGGAGGGGACGGCGTGCACGGTCCTTGTAGTCGTGCTAGGCTCGAAGAGCGCTTCCATGCACTAAGTGTGGAGCGGACTACGGTCCAGCCACCGCCTTGTGTACAATTGATTCCTCAAATACAGCGTGCTTGTGTTTGCCTGTGAAGGAATATGGGCCGGCACCGTTGATGAAACGTGGCTCCCATCCACATGCCTCCCGGTCTTATTCCTTCGCTTTCGCACTGGATATGATATGTGTGGTTGGAGCTGTGGCTTATGCAGCGCAAGCCAACCATGGTGACTTTGTAGCCGCAGGCATCCTGTGGCTGGCCACAGTTACATGCAAATCCGAAACCGGATGCCGCCAGCCATATAGGAGTTTAGAGTATGAGCCCTCAAAGCTGGTAATGTTAATATCTCGAATAATAAGGGTATGCAGCAAGACAACAAGTTTTGTTGTAAATTCCTTAAGGTGGTAGTTCCGTATGAAGTTAAAATTTTCAAAACTCCATTGATATTCGCGCTTCCTGCAGCTTTGACAAAGTATTATAGTCTTCGCCTTTCGGTAAAGGTTTCCACATTTTTACATATTCCCTAGCTTTACTAAGTGGACAATCATACTTTTAATCGTGCACACTTTGCAGTGTAAAGAAAGCATATTAGTTTAGAAGCTCATGAATCGATTGAAACATATTATCTGAGACATATTTCACCAGTCAAACTTTCAAAGCCAGCCTGCGTGTCCCGTTTCAATACATCAACAAATCCCATCTAGACGCCAAACAAATTTTCGCCATCCATTCTTTTCTTTTGGCGGATTCGACGCTCGATGCCTACCCAAATGCAGAGCATACTTTGGATTCATCTATTGCACTGTCTGCCATCACTGTTCTGGAGAAGAGGAACTCTTAACGCTGTGAGCTTGACATGCTATTACCGAAGATCCAGCCCTTCACTTTGAAGATATTTTTTGCATCATTGCTTTCTGGGAGAAAGGATCTTCTGCGCTTCACAAACAAAATAAATGGTAACCATGGTTCCGAGATGAAAATTAAACATTCATCTGATCTTGGGATCACATGTTCTCCTTCTGCTGCGAACAATACCAGTGGTGTGACAATTTCCGGGCATTTCTTCAACATCACATTTACTGTGTCGGCTTGGCTTCTACGTCTAGTTTCCATAGTTACGTTGATACTTAGACCAGTCAATTGATTCAAGACTTTTCAGCGATGTGTAGGTGTAGAACGATCATAACAGGTCCATTGTATCCAAATATGTAACAAAGTGAACGACAGCAGAAGCTGTATGTACAAAAACCAGATTCAAAACTGGTTTTGTGTATGGCACAAATGTAGACTTTGGGTTGCTTTCAGAGGCGTGTCTCTGCGTACCCGATCGGTAGCCCACCATAACAACAGCATTATCAAATGTCTGGCCACGGCAGTCAGTAATCGGAATTCCGTCCTTCTGCAGTCCTACCCAAATAAGTCCAGAAACTTCTGCTGCGTTTTTATTGTTGGTCTCAAGGAAGCGCAGAATCAGCTTCCTAATCTTCATTCCATTTTCATCCACGGTTAGGTAGCTCGACTCGTCCATCTGATTTTTGTGAGATAAGTCGCCAGTACTCTCAAAACTTAAGTAAAAATACTTGTTTTCCTTGACCTGCTCTATAATTTTCTTGTTCACTCGTTTGGCTAAAATGCCCACAAATTCATTTTGAACCTCTGGACACATGCGTCTGGATCAACCAGACTTGTCACATTTAGTATCTTTGTATCTTTTAAAAAACCTCAAGGTGTTAGGTCCAAGTGACGCTTAATGCCCACCACAGGCTATTTCCCATTCATTTTTTAAACCTTGGCACTAAATTGTAAATATTTGGCCTGTTCTTTCACCGTTTCCGACAAACACAAATGTTAGGAAAACGTAAGTAGAAGGACCGCTCTGCTTTTATAGATGGCCGTTTAGATGGAAGGCTTGTGTGGAGGGTTTGAAAGAGTCAAAATATACCCCTATACAGGCCTCTGCGCGTCCGTTTCTTGCGCAAACGGAGGATGGAATAGATACGCCTCCACTTCGCCATCACGAAAAACAAGTTTAAACTGAAACTGCCCCCATTACATCCATTAACACCAGCACTTGAGGTCCGAAGATCTCGATTTCACTTGACCATTTTTTGTGACTTTGCTAACAGTTTCATTGAGTGAGTTGGGATTGCGCAGATTTATTTGGCAGATGCACGCTGAATACACGTGGTGTATCAGCTGGCCACCATCGATCTTTCATGTTTGAACCTAGAGAAGTATCCCGGGCAAATACATACTACTCTCCTAATGCGAACAGTTTAATACCTATAAGCAATTTAACGTTGGACCGAGATTATGCGACGTCCCACTAGCGATGTGAGACAGAGGGAAAGCCGACGCTTATCCTTAGACAACGCAGGAGCTCGCAGAAGAAACTCCAGTGTACCATTTCATAGTGCTCGTTTAGAAAGAAACCCAAATTCGCTCGACAGTGACACTGACTTTTTGTGTGACCGAGCAGTGGAGTTTATGGAGTCCGGGGATATTCACAGTATCGTGGCTGTAGAGCTGGCAGAACAGAGCATGTACTTTGAGCGTCTTTTACGGTATCACAAAGGTAGGGGATACATACGGCTCCCGGAGTTTCTAAACTCAGGCTTTACATCGGTCTTGGAATTTATTCGTAAGGGGACTACAGAGATTACACCAGAGAATGTATATCATATCTTCATCGCTTCTGACTACTTGCTAGTACCAAAACTCAAGCAGGAGTGCGCCAATCTCCTGAAGGAGATTGCAAACGAACCATCTACAGCGATTACTCTCTGGCTGAGCTGTCGTTCCCTCTACTGGCCAGAGGTCGGAACAATGGCGTTTGAGAAAATTCTGGAAAACTTTGAAAACATTTGGATATCACCTGATTTCTTGCAGTTAGAGGCAGTCGATGTGTGGCGGATCTTGCAGGAAGATGGACTGAACTGCAAGAGGGAACGAAGCGTATTTGATGCGATTGCATATTGGATCAATACCTCCCAGAAAAATCGCATACAGTATGCACTGGATTTGATGTTATGCATCCGAATTGGAATGCTGACCGCTGCTGACCTGGAAGCTTTGAAAACGAATGAACTGGTTAAAATGGTGCCGGACTATACAGAACTGCTGGTTACATGGCCAAGATGTTTGGCGCAGAAAGAAAACCCCATAATTGCCGCATGCGGAAGGCGATTTGTGACACCCAGACTACCACACGAGGTAGGTGTGTAGTGCAGATTGCCAATTGGAAATTTGCCTGACAAATAAGAGTTTATGGGCAAATCAAAGCAAAAATGTTACTAAAAGCTTCCTTGGAGAAATTTTAGTCATCCTAAGTTTCACCTAGTTCAGACGGAAAACCGTAAGGAATTTTGGCTACGATAGTTGGTGGTCTCAACCATCGTGCCTGGACAACAAATAATTGGCAGAGTGACACAACACGTGGGTAATAACAAAACAGAAAATACACAGTCAATGGAAGGGATGCGAAGTTTTCTGTGTTGTGTGGGCAGCAAGATTCCCGGTTGCGTAGGCTAAGGAAGAGGGTTACCTTAAAGGACCCCACCGCAAGCCTTTGGACCTAGAGACCTGACCCGCAAAGCAGAAAGGAGATTCACGCATGTAGCTGGAAAGTCCAACCAGCTACTGAATACCCAGACCGTTGACATCCGAGTGGCTCATTTGCCATTTGTTTTCGGTAGCAGTTCACACAGAAACCGGTGCCCAGCAAAGTTGTTCATCCGTCCTCCGTTAGGTACTCACCTGTGATTACAGAAGTGAGTAGTCAGTGACCGGTCACACTGGCATTGACACAGCGCCATTCGAGCTCTTGTGGCATTTGACGGAGGTCAAGGTGATCAGCCCAGAATTCTCCACACTCTAAGACGTTGCTGCTGATTGCCCGCTAATGTTAAGATATGGCGGGATCAAAGCAAACGGGACTTGTTCGTAGTTACCTCCCCAAGGGGGCGTTCCCCAATCCGTAGCCTCCGGACGCGCGCAACAGCGTACAGCTCCGCCACGGGTCACGTGCTCGCCGATCAAATGGAAGCCCCTGTTGCTAACTTCTGCCACACTGCAGCGCTTCGAGCTTTTATGCACCCCGTTGATAGTCACTATTCAAAATTTTGCTGCGTTAAAAGTAATCGGTTATACGTCAGACTGCGACTGTTCAGTGGTGACGCGAAGTTCACTTACAAACATCGCATACACACGTACGTTGCATCCTACTCCAATGCACGGGGATCAACTGCTGTTGAACTGACACGCTACCAGTTTGAAGGTGGCCTGACTCTAGGGCTCATCACATCCGTAAGCCATTCAACGCAGCATAGCGTAAGTTAGTTCTGGTCATACGGATTGCAATCGTTCACCGTCTTAGAAACCCGTCTCCCTTCTCATAACGCTCTTAGCAGGGTGGCCTGCACGACTGGGCTAGTGCATCAGCCCAAGAAGATTCGGAACCAGGAACATTCGGCATGTGGCGTGTAGTTGTCGTGCCAACGAGATGCTAAACGGTGCATAGTTTGGGGAAGGCACCACTAATCAACAAAATAATACTAAATAAAAATGTTAGTTGTACGGCGTAACGGCGCTTCGCTGAGTGCGACCACCACTAGTCGCGCGCGGGCTGAATATACCGCGAGGACGTCCACCATTATGCGGATTCGAACCGAGATCTTATGCTTGCGAAACAGGCGCGCAGACCACTAGGCCACACGCCGTCTCACCTCCTTGGATGGGGCCCACGCAACCCACCGCGTCTAAATATCACAGCACGTGACCTTCTTCTGGTACCATTAGTGTGTAGCCATCACATCATAGTCGAAGTGTCTGGTTAGGTAGGTTGGTGGTTCATTTTCGGATCCATTTCGACCGTGAAGCAAGCAGTGTATGGCCTAGGCAGTCCTTTTTCAGGAGACTTCTAGTTTTCAATGGGCCTGTGTCAGTAAAGTGGAGATCATTAGGTTTTGATTAGTTGCTCATAACAACCGCTCCTGTTAATGCCTACTAGCATAGTAACTGCGGGCGCAGCATCGATGCGATACATGGTATTAGTCCTACTGTTGACGGCGATGCTGATGAAGGGCAGCTGGTTGCGTTGCAACAAGTCGTCAGGGGAAGGAAAACTATCAGCTCTGGTCCTACCAGTAACCACATGTCTAGAGAAAAACTATACCACTGGAAGCCGTTGTAGTAATTTTCATGACTTAAGTGATGTCGCATATGTTACACAGTGTGCTTCTTATTTAGTGACTGCCAGCAATCTAAAATGTATTGGGAAGCCGGTCCACTTAACACGCACACACACCCTACGCAAATAGACCTTTTAACTCGGAAAAGGACAGCTCCATCATTATTTTGTCTGTTTTCTGGATGACAATGGGTGATAATTCTTACTTGTCAATTGGATTGCAGCTTGACTGGCGATAGATTGAATTCCAGATGAATTCAGAATGAAGAACGGTTAACATCGCATGTACCTGACAATTCCCGTAGGATGACTAGAACAATAATTGTAAAAACAAAGGTAAACATGACAGGATAAAAGGGGGCTATCCGAGTTTTGGGTGAGAAAAGTTATGCACATTGACACAGCTACAAGTGTTCCCACCGCTACGCTTCGGAGACGGATGGTGGGTGTGCAGTCCGGTTCGCATTATTTCCTCTTTCAAGCGAAACAAAAAACATCAAGCAATGCAAGTGGGAATGTGTATCATCAAGGCATTTTTCGAAAAGTCTTAATGTAGGGAGAAAAATGTATTAAGTTTGCGGAAGATGGTGGTGTCGGCTAGTTTGAGCAATTGCTTTCTCATGTTCATGTTTTCATTGTTTTAACATATGGTAACAAGAGTCATATAGTGTGATAGCCCGGTAGAGTAGATTGACAGAAACGAAATTGGCGTAAATAATGCCCCAGGTCCACGGCAATCTAATTTATTGCCTCAGTATTTCCTGGACACACAGCGGCACGTGATCCAGCCTTATCAGTAATGTTTCGCTGATTGCATACCGTTTCGAACTCCTGTAATATAGAAAAACCTTGAAAGGGCTGATCGGGTCCGTCGGGTGGTAAGTCATCATAAGGTGATTGGCGATAGGTGTAGTGC